AGGCCAAAGAAAACATGTTTGTTGGTTGAGTCTGGCCCAGAGAACATGGGTCTGAAATGCAAGGGCTCAAGTCCAAGTCTCAGCTTCACTTTTTTTTTTTTTTTTTTTTTTTTTTTTTGAGACGGAGTCTCGCTCTGTCGCCCAGGCTGGAGTGCAGTGGCCGGATCTCAGCTCACTGCAAGCTCCGCCTCCCGGGTTTACGCCATTCTCCTGCCTCAGCCTCCCGAGTAGCTGGGACTACAGGCGCCTGCCACCTCGCCCGGCTGGTTTTTTTTGTATTTTTTAGTAGAGACGGGGTTTCACCATGTTAGCCAGGATGGTCTCGATCTCCTGACCTCGTGATCCGCCCGTCTCGGCCTCCCAAAGTGCTGGGATTACAGGCTTGAGCCACCGCGCCTGGCCTCAGCTTCACTTTTTATGTTTTATTTTTATATTAATAAAGATGGGGCCTCACCATGTTGCCTCACCATGTTGCCCAGGCTGCTCTTGAACTCCTAGGCGCAAGAGATCCTCCTGCCTCAGTCTCCCAAACTGCTGGGATTACAGGTGTAAGCCACTTGTCTGGCCTCAACTTCTTTTTTTTTCAGGGGAGACAGGGTCTCATTCTGTCACCCAGGCTGGAGTGCAGTGGTATGATCACTGCACCTCCCAGGCTCAGGTGATCCTCCCACCTCAGCCTCCCAAGTAGCTGGGACTACAGGTGTGCGCCGCCACCGCTGGCTAATTTTTTGTTTTCTGTTTTTTTTTTTTTTTTTTTTGAGACAGAGTCTTGCTCTGTTGCACAGGATGGAGTGCAGTGGTGCGATCTCCGCTCACTGCAACCTTCGCCTCCCAGGTTCAAGCAATTCTCCCACTTCAGCCTCCCGAGTAGGTAGGATTACAGGTGACTGCTACCATGCCCGGCTAATTTTGTATTTTTAGTAGAGATGGGGTTTCACCATGTTGGCCAGGCTGGTCTCGAACTCCTGACCTCAAGTGATCCGCCCACCTGGGCCTCCCAAAGTGTTGGGATTACAGGTGTGAGCCACCACGTCTGGCTGCCTGACTTTCTTATCATACCCCACCAGGCAAAGTTCCAACTGAAGGAATATCTCTATCATATCCTGCTGAGCAAAGTTCCCAGGAACAACCTATCACATCCCAGCAGAAAAAGGGCCAAACCGCCTGATCATAGGAACGCCTTGTCAATATCCTGCAGGGCAGCAAGCCATACTGCCCAGACCCCATACCTAGAAGTACCCTAGCCTGTAAGCAGCGGTGGGCTCCAGCATTAAGCTGGTACCCCATCTCCGCAGGTTTTTGCAATATACCTGTGTTGCCGTAGACCTCCTCGGTCCCTGTCTTTCTTTCACCCTCGCCTTCCCTTTAAAAAACCTAACACTTGGTATGGCTAGTCTTTTACATTTTAGCCATTTAGGTGCATAGTGATAGCTCATTGTGGGTTTAATTTACATTTCTCTCTCTCTTTTTTGTTTTTGTTTTTGTTTTTTTGAGACAGAGTCCTTACTCTGTCGCCCGGGCTGGAGTGCAGTGGTGCGATCTCAGCTCATTGCAACCTCTGCCTCCTGGCTTCAGGCAATTCTGCCTCAGCCTCCCGAGTAGCTGGGACTACAGGCGTCTGCCCCCATGCCCAGCTAATTTTTTTGTATTTTTAGTACAGACACGGTTTCACTGACTTGGCCAGGCTGTTCTCGAACTCCTGACCTCATGATCTGCCCGTCTCAGCCTCCCAAAGTGCTGGGATTACAGGCGTGAGCCACCGCGCCCGGCCATTTTTTTTTTGGTTTTTTTTTTTTTGGAGACAGAGTCTTGCTCTGTTGCCCAGGATGGACTGCAGTGGTGTGATCTCTGCTCACTGCAACCTCCGCCTCCCAGGTTCAAGCAGTTCTCCCACCTCAGCCTCCCGAGTAGCTAGGATTACAGACAAACACCACCACGCTCAGGTAATTTTTGTATTTTAGTAGAGACGGGGTTTTACCATGTTGGCCAGGCTGGTCTCGAATTCCTGACCTCAGGTGATCCGCCCGCCTCAGACTCCCAAAGTGTTGGGATGACAAGTCTGAGCCACCACGCCCGGCCCAGTGTTTTGTATTTTAGTAGAGACCAGGTTTCACTATGTTGCCCAGGCTGGTCTCGAATTCCTGAGCTCAAGCAATCTGCCTGTCTCGGCCTCCCCAAGTGCTAGGCTGTGCCAGGGTTCTGATCCAGTGTCTTCCACCTGGGCCATTGCTCTGGCCTCCTGCCCTCCCCCTCAAAGAAGCCTAAACTTCTCCCACCTGGGTACTGGGGGGCCCTAGGGGATCATGAGAGCCCCGTGAGGGAATTCTGAGAGTGCCTGGGGAAATGACAGAAAGTTCGAGGCGCCCTACTTATTTGCAGGAACCCCACGAGGGTTCTGGGGGCCTCCGAGGGATCATGGGAGTCCTAGGGAGGTTCTGAGGACCCCCAGGGGATCATGGGACCCTCATGAGGACTTCAGGGGTTCCTGAACAATCATGGGAACCCTGTGGGACATTCTGAGAGCTAGAGAGATCGTAGGAGTCCCGTGAGAGTTTTGTGAGGGGCCATAAGTAATTACAGGAAGTCCTGATGTGGCTGGGTGCAGTGGCTCACGCCTGTAATCCCAGCACTTTGGGAAGACAAGGTGGGTGGATCACTTGAGGCCAGGAGTTCGAGACCAGACTGGCCAACATGCTGAAACCTTGTCTCTAGAAAAAGTAGAAATATTAGCTGGGAGTGGTGGCACACGTCTCTGGTCCCAGTTACTTGGGAGGCTGAGGTGAGAGGACGGCTTGAGCCCAGGAGGTTGAGGCTGCAGTGATCAACAGGTGCGATCACGCCACTGCACTTCAGTTTGGGCGACAGAGTGAGACCCTGGCTCAAAAACAAAACAAAACAAAAACAAACAAAAAACCCAAACCGGAAGTCCTGATGTATTCTAGGCTCCTGAGATTTCCCATGAGGGCACATGAACCCCACGAGTATTGAGGGGCCCTATGGGATCACGGGGGCTCCATGGAAGTTCTGAAGGTCTCCAGGTAATCAAGGGGATCAAGGGAGTCCCTCAGGAGGTCTGGGGTGCTCCGGAGGCCCATGAAGGCCATAGGATGTTTTAAAGAGTCGTGGAAAGACAATGGAGGTTGTGGGTCGCCGGAGCCCCACAGGAACCTTAAGGGGTCTGGTGGTGCGCGTCAGGTTCTGAGGGGACCCTGAGGAATCACGAAAGCGTCTAGAGGAGTTCGGGAAAACCGCGGAAACACCACGAGAAGTTCAGGATCAAGGGGCAAGAGAACCACTGGGGAAGATGGGAACAGACTAAAGGGCCGGAGCCGCCACCGCCAAGGCTCAAGGGAGCGTCCTACAGGGCGCGATCCTATTGGGCGGCGGGAATCACGGGGACTGAGAGAGGCGGAGTTGCTGAGCTGCCGCAGTGGATGACGGGACTCCCCGCGAAAAACCGGGCGCCCAGGCCTGGGTAACGCAGCGGGCAGCGCCGGCCGGGCAGGCTCTCACCAGTGCGCATGCGTGGCTCTCCGGCACCGGTCCGTACTCCAGCGAGGTGAAGATCTCGCGGGCGCGGGGCCCTGCACGCGTCGCAGCCATCGCCTACCCAGAACGCTTTCCGCGAAGACTGTGGGGCGCTCTGTGTTAAGGGGAACCTTGAGGTCCGAAGGGCCACACCTCCCGTTCCAGCCCAAAGGGGCGGGACTAATGCGAATGGGGTGGGGCTACGAGATACAGAGAGCAGCCTCGCCCACACTTTTTGCCTTAGGACCCGTTGGCCCAGCCTACGGGGAAGCGTATTTAGGAGCATGCGCACTGCTTAAAACGGGAAGGAAGGCGAGCCAGGGATGTAGGTAATTTGCGATTAATTGGGAGGGCTCCGGATTTAGAAGGATCGGCGTGGCCGGGCACGATGGCTCACGGTTGTAATCTCAGCATTTTGGGAGGCCGAGGCAGGTGGAACACCTGAGGTCGGGAGTTCGAGACCAGCCTTACCAATATGGTGCAACCCCCGTCTCTACTAAAAACATGAGCTGAGCTGTGGTGGTACGCGCCTGTAATCTCAGCTACTCAAGAGGCTGAGCCGGGAGAATCACTTGAACCCGGGAGGCGTACATTGCAGTGAGCCGAGATCGCGCCACTGCACTACAGCCTGGGTGACAAAGGCAGACCCTGTCTCAAAAAAAAAAAAAAAAGTAATTAAAAAAAAAAAAAGCGTCGTCGTATTGATGCGTCTTCCCAGTGCCTTGTTTTATAGTAGCAGGAAGTGCAAGTTTTATTTGTTTTACCTTTTATTTTCTTGAGATAGGGTCTCCCTTTGTCGCCCAGGCTGGAGTGCAGTGGTCCGATCACGGCTGACTGTCACCTCTACTTTTCCGGTTTAAACGTTTCCCCTGCGTCAGCCTGCACAGTAGCTGGGACTACAGGCGCATGCCATCAAGTCTGGCTATTTTTTTCCTTTTTTTTTTTTTCGTAGAGACAGGATTTTGCTATGTTGCTCTGACTGGTCTCGAACTCCTGGACTCAAGCGATCTTCCTACCTCAGACTCCCAGCCTGAAAGTGCAGCTTTCAGTTCTAATTATATTTACTAGGGGTCGGAGCTAGATCTGGCAGGAAGTGATAATTCAAAGATAAAAAGGGTACCTTTTAGGATGGACATTGAGATTAAGGTTTTGAAAATGCAACCTTCACTGCAAAGTAACGGGGCCGGTTTTGGTTGTGGAAAGAGTGGAAGTGTGGCGCTTTTTTTTTTTTTAAACAGATGGGCTGTGGGACGTTATCTCATTGTATTGCCCAAGCTGGTCTCGAACTCCTGGCCTTACGTGATTCTCGCCCTGGCCTCCCAAAGTGCTGGGACTATAGGCATGAGCCACAGCGCCCAGCCGGAAGTGTGGCTTTCATAGCTACAGGAAGTGTGGCATTTAGGGATTCGCCTTGGTGTTTATTTTTGATTGATGCGAAGGGCGTGGCTTGTCAATAACGCGATACCAGCTTGTGAGTGCGCATGGGGTACTCGGAAGTGTGGCGTACTCGAGTCTTGTGTTACGGATAGACCGGAAGTGTGGCTTCGTTTACAATTCGGCAAGTAGGACGGAGAGCGCGTCCAGAGATACAGATTCCCAACGGATTTGATGACGGTGTTCGGTCTTGAATGGAATTGTAGTCTTAGGCCAGTCTTAGCTTTCTGAACAGGATAATAGGTATCCGGAGTCGATTGAGGGCCAGAGCAAGCACTGGGGTTCGGATCCTGGGCAAAGTTCCCCACGCTGAGGGTCTTGAGGACGCCTAGATCTCTTTTCCAGGGCCATGGCGAACCCGAAGCTGCTGGGACTGGAGCTAAGCGAGGCGGAGACGATGGGTGCTGATTCGGCACGATTTGAGGAGCTGCTGCTGCAGGTGCACAGTGACCGGACCCCTGGATCCTTGAGTATTCCGGGATTTTGGCGGGGTGCTCAAAGATGGGACTACAGTTGCCAGAATGCACTAGGGTGGGAACTGGGCCTGGGGGAATTCAGGTTGATGGGCTTCAAGTTTGCTAGGTGGGGTTGCGGTTGTTCCTCTAGTTCCCAAAGGAGAAAGGGGACCTAAACCGTTCAATTTCTCGCGTTATCCACAGCTCTCATAGATAAGAATTGCTCCATTTGAGGAACAAATGAGGGGTCTGATGGCACAGACTCCAAGCCTGGAGGTAGTTTTACTTTATACAGGCCTCGAAGGAGCTCCAGCAAGCCCAGACAACCAGACCAGAATCGACACAAATCCAGCCTCAGCCGGGTGAGAAAGGACACCGGAGAGAGAGGGACAGCAGACCCAGGGAGGGCCGGGGCAGGGGACAGAGAGGAGGAAGGAAAGAGACACGAAAATAAAGGCCTGGGATGGGGGTGGGGTGAGCAGACACCCACAGAGATCACCCTAGGACAGAAAGGAGTTGGAGGACAGAGTAGGAGTAGATAGGGGGCCAAAGAATCAGAGATAGGAAGAGGCTGGGTACGGTGGCACGCACCTGTAGTCCCAGTTACTTGGGAGGCTAACACAGGAGAATTGCTGGAACCCAGGAGGCAGAGGTTGCAGTGAGTGGAGATCGCACCACTGTACTCCAGCCTGGGTGACAGAGCGAGACTCTGTCTCAAAAACAAAACGAAATAAACAACAAAAACAAAGATAGGAAGAGAGGCTGGGCACAGCGACTCACAACTGTGATCCCAGCACTTTGGGAGGTCGAGGCTGGAGGATCACCTGAGGTCAGGAATTTGAGATCAGCCTGGCTAATATGGTGAAACTCCATCTCTAATAAAAATACGAAAATTAGCCAGGCGTGGTGGTGGGCGCCTATAATCCCAGCTACTTGGGAGGCTGAGGCATGAGAATTGCTTGAACCGGGGAGGTGGAGGTTGCAGTGAGCTGAGATCACGCTACTGCACTCCAGCCCGGGTGACAGAGTGAGACTCTGTTTCAAAAAAAAAAAAAGGGGGGGGGTGGGGAGTGGAACAAACCCAGAAAAAGGGGGATAGGGCAAAAGAAAAAGAGAGCCTGGAAAGAATGGATGGGTACTGGGACTTGTGCAGAAAAGGATTGTCATGACTAACCCACTCCCACCAGGCTTCTGCATAAAGACCAACTCCTCAGAAGGGAAAGTTTTCATCAACATCTGCCACTCCCTCTCCATCCCTCCTCCCGCCGACGTGACCGAGGAGGAGCTGCTTCAGATGCTAGAGGAGGACCAAGCTGGGTTTCGCATCCCCATGAGTCTGGGAGAGCCTCATGCAGAACTGGATGCAAGTCAGTGCCCTCAGAGAACCCAGGAGTCTGGCCTGCTTAGGCCCCTTCTTCCCTAGAACCCAAGCATCCTGGGTCCAGGATCCTCTTCCCTCAGCTCCTGGAGATCTGGCTCCCCAGTCTGATGATTTTCCCTATGGTAGATCTCTAGTGCCCTGGGCATCCCAAACCCAGGCAGTCCTGGTTCTGCCACCTGACCAGGCTGGCACTTTTCCATGCCCCACTCCAGGGCCGGGAGGCCTGGGCAGAGTGCTCTTCATGCATTAGTGGATCTCCTGGCTTTAGTCCTGAGCCCGCTCTCTCTTTCTTTTTTCTTTTTTTTTTTTTTTGAGATGGAGTTTTGCTCTTGTTGCCCAGGTTCAGACGATTCTCCTGCCTCAGCCTCCCAACTAGCTGGGATTACAGGCGTGCGCCACCATGCCCAGCTAATTTTTGTATTTTTAACAGAGTCGGGTTTTGCCATGTTGGCCAGGCTGGTCTCAGACGCCTGACCTCAGGTAATCCACTGCCTCAGCCTCCCAAAGTGCTGGGATTACAGGTGTGAGCCACTTCACCTAGCCTGCGGCTCTCTCTTTCATTCCGTTTTCTCCTCTGCCCTTCTCCCCTGTCTCCATCTTTGTCTTGCCTCGCCTCTGTCCCTGTTTCTGCTTCTATGTCCTTTTTTCCATATGTCTCTTGAAGCTTTCTGGGACCAAGCTCTAGGCAGTGCCCCGGGGAATAAGGACCTATCAAATTCACATTCCACGTTCCAGAAACTCCCTGTCATGGGCAGGGCTCAAGGAGGTGGATGCAGTATCAAAAGGGTGCTTTGGAGGGGGGCACCCAGCACAGCCTTGAGAGGGCTCGTCACCCACATGAAGCGGTCAGGGAAGGCTTCCTGGAGGAGGAGGTGTGGGATAAGATTTGAAGGAACAGGAAGAGTTCAGCAGGCAAAGACAGAAGAAGGTTCTACGTAGAGCGGCCCGGAAATGGGAGAGAATGATTAGATTGGATCAGCCAGTAATGGAGAGTGACTGAATTAAATTCAGAGGGCCAAGGTTGCTAGAAGAATGAGATTTTCTCCAGAGGTGGGAGGGGCAGACGACACAGGGTCTCCAATGCCAAGCTTGCGGGGCTCAGACCTTCACTTGGGAGCACTGGGGAGCCAGAGTAGAGCTGTGAGCAGGGGAGGGATAGGGTCAGCTCAAGTGACATTACACTGATGGACAGGAGATAGGCTGGGGAGGAGGCTGGACGGACAGTCCGGAGCGGACAGTGAGTGCTCAGCTGTCACTTCCTGATGTCTCTGGCTCTGCTTCTTGTGGCCGCTGTCCCTGAATGTTTCTTCCCTGTCTGGGTCTGGACTGGGGGCTTCCTGCAGAGGGCTGGCGGGCCCTCACCCCCTTTTTCTCCCCGCAGGAGGCCAGGGCTGTACCGCCTATGACGTAGCTGTCAACAGCGACTTCTACCGGAGGATGCAGGTTGGGGGCGGGGCTGCGGGTGAGGCCTGAGCAGGGGTCTCTCCCCCTACCCTCCCCGCCACCGCCTGTCTTTTCCCTCTCTCTGTCACCCCAGAACAGCGATTTCTTGCGGGAGCTCGTGATCACCATCGCCAGAGAGGGCCTTGAGGACAAATACAACTTGCAGCTGAATCCGGGTGAGGGGCAGGGCCTGGGCCATCGGGAAACAGTGGAGCCAGGAGCGGTTTGGGGGACACCCCTGGGAGAGGAGGGGCTGGCTTGGGCAGGGTGTCCTGGAGTCTGTGCTACTGGGAGGGGGTGGAGTCTGGACGCCCTGAAGGGGCGGGGCCAGGAACATCTCCAGGGCTGGGTTTTATTGGGGCTTATCATGGGAGGGGACGTGACTAAGGTGGGCGGGCTTCCTGGAGCCAAGCCTGGGAGTGTGGTCAGATCCCAAGAGTCCCGGTGAGCCGGTGGAGCCGATCCCGGGAGGCTCTTGGCTGTGCAAGGCCTCCTGAGAGAGCAAAGGGAACCCTGACCTGTACAATGACGGCGCTCCTGACCCTCAGAATGGCGCATGATGAAGAACCGGCCATTCATGGGCTCCATCTCGCAGCAGAACATCCGCTCGCAGCAGCGTCCTCGGATCCAGGAGCTGGGGGACCTGTACACGCCGGCCCCTGGGAGAGCTGAGTCAGGGTGGGCTTTCGGTAGATCCCCGGTCTGATGTTTCCTCAACGCTCTTGGGAATCCCTCCCTCCATCCTCCGACACTGGGTGATGCCCTGGGGCCCTGGGCACTGAGAGAGGGAAGAGAGAGAACTCCTGACTGGGAAGGCGTTCTGAGGCACCAGGGCCGGTTGGAGGGAGAAAGGGAACGCCAGGCAAAGACCCGGCAGCTCTGCTCGGCCCTGGACCTTGTTCCTCCTCAGCCCTGAAAAGCCTCACCTGAACCTGTGGCTGGAAGCCCCCGACCTCCTCTTGGCCGAAATTGACCTCCCCAAACTGGTGAGTTTTGCCCGCTGGGCCAGAGGAGGGGAATGAGGTCTGGAAAGGTCAGGGACTGTCTCTGAGCGAGAGTGACAAGGGGCTGTTGCTGGACTTGTCAGCTGCGTACTCTCTCCCAGGAGGCCCACAGGCCACCTTTGGGTGCCGTCCTGAGGGCGCCCGAGGGATTGTAAGTGCTCGGTTGTTGAGACTTGTAATTGCTGTCTTCTGCCTCTTCCCTGGGAGATTAGACCCTTCAAATATAGTTTCCCAGCATGTGAGGCTACCATGCCTGGTCCAGGTGACCGTCCTGTTGCTGAGGAGGGTGACCTGATTCCACCACCTCTCCAGGATGGAGCCCTGGGGCTGTCGCTGGAGATCGGGGAGAACCGCCTGGTGATGGGGGGCCCCCAGCAGCTGTATCATCTGGACGCTTATATCCCACTGCAGATCAACTCTGATGAGAGCAAGGCAGCCTTCCACCGGAAGAGAAAGGTGCCCGGGGGACGGTTCGGGGAAGCCGGGACGTTCGGGAGCCTGGACTCTGGCTCCGAGGGAGGAGGACCAGGGGCGGGACTTCTGGGTCCTGGATCCTCATTCTCTTTGCTCTGTCTCCTCAGCAATTAATGGTAGCCATGCCGCTTCTGCCGGTGCCTTCTTGATCAGGGTGTTTCCCTGTGCTCCCGAGATGGGAAGAAACCGCTGGCTTCCTTAAAGTTGAAATAAAAGATTTTTGCCTTTGTTCTGCCTCTGACTGGGGATATGTGGGTGTTGGGAGGGAAGAGGGACATTGGGCTGTGCCCCTCCAGTCCCATAGAGGTCACTGCCCCAGCTCAGGCCTCATCCTTCCCCCTGGATCCTCCCTGAAGCCTCCTGGCCTCCAGTCTCCCCTTGTTAGTCCTCCCCCGGCCCCAGAGCTGGCCCTGCACTTTCCCTGTTCACCGCCCTCCTGTAGCTCCCCAGCTGCCCTGGGAGAAGGTCCAAGCCCCTCAGCCACGCACTCAAGGCTCTGTGTGATCTGAGCCTCGAGTCATGGCTTACTTTTTTGTTTAAGAGGCGGGGTCGCTGGGCATGGTGGCTCATGCCTGTAATCCTAGCACTTTTGGGAGGCCGAGGCGTGTGGATCACCTGAGGTCAGGAGTTTGAGACTATCTTGGCCAACATGGTGAAACCCCGTCGCTACTAAAAATACAAAAATTAGCCAGGTGTGGTGGCACAAGCCTGTAATCCCAGCTACTTGGGAGGCTGAGGCAGGAGAATTGCTTGAACACGAGAGGCGGAGGTTGCAGTGAGCTGAGAACATACCATTGCACTCCAGCCTGGGCTACAAGAGCAAAACTCTGTCTCAAAAAGAAAAAAAGAGAGAGAGATAGGGTCTCACTCTGTCATGGAGTGCAGTGGTGCAATCATATAGCTCACTACAGCCTGGAACTCCTGGGTTCAAGTGATCCTCCCACATGAGCCTCTGAGTAGCTATGATGACAGGCAGGCACCACTGTGCCCAGCTAATTTTATTTTTTGCATTTTTTTTCTTTTAGAGATGGGGTCTTGCTATGTTGCCCAGGTTGGTCTTGAGTTCTTGGCATCAAGTGAGCCTCCTGCCTTGGCCTCCCCAAATGCTGGGATTACAGGTGTGAGCCACTGAGCCCAGCCTAGTTTTGACCTCTTCGTCTAACTGGAGTCCAGTCATACTGAACAGTGTCCTGACCATACCCATTTTCCCCCATCTCTTACTTTCTGCTGTTCCTGCTGCTTTCCCAGTACATCTGTGGAAGTTACTTACTTTCTCTTCCTTCCTTCCTTCCTTCCTTCCTTCCTTCCTTCCTTCCTTCCTTCCTTCCTTTCTTCCTTTCTTCCTTCCTTTCTTCCTTTCTTTTTCTCTTTTCTTTCTTCTTTTTTTTTTTTTTTTGAGATGGAGTCTCGCTCTGCCCGCCCAGGCTGGAGTGCAGTGGCCTGATCTCGGCTCACTGCAAGCTCTGCCTCCCGGGTTCCCGCCATTCTCCTGCCTCAGCCTCCGGAGTAGCTGGGACTACAGGCGCCCGCCACCTCGCCCGGCTACTTTTTTTTTGTATTTTTTTAGTAGAGAGGGGGTTTCACCGTGTTAGCCAGGATGGTCTGGATCTCCTGACCTCGTGATCCGCCCACCTCGGCCTCCCGAAATGCTGGGATTGCAGGCATGAGCCACTGCGCCCGGCCTTCTTTCTTCTTTATCCTTCCTTCCTTCCTGTCTCCTTCCTTCCTTCCTTCCTTCCTTCCTTCCTTCCTTCCTTCCTTTCTTTCTTTCTTCTTTCTTTTTTTCTTTCTTCCTCCTTCCTTCCTTCCCTCCCTCCCTCCCTCCTTCCCTTCCTTCCTTCCTTCTCTCTCTCTTTCTTTCTTTCTCTTTTTTTTTTCTTTTTTCTTTTTTTTTTTTGACAGACTCTGGCTCTTAGGCCTACGCTGGAGTGCAGTGGTGCAATCTTGACTCAATCGGCAACCTCCCGAGTTCAAGTGATTGTTGTGCCTCAACCTCCCAAGTACCTGGGACTACAGGTGCCACCATGCCCAGCTAATTTTTAAATTTTTTTTTTTTTTGAGACGGAGTTTCACTCTGTCGCCCAGGCGGGAGTGCAGTGGCCGGATCTCAGCTCACTGCAAGCTCCGCCTCCTGGGTTTACGCCATTCTCCTGCCTCAGCCTCCCGAATAGCTGGGACTACAGGCGCCCGCCGCATCGCCCGGCTAGTTTTTTGTATTTTTTAGTAGAGACGGGGTTTCACCGTGTTAGCCAGGATAGTCTGGATCTCCTGACCTCGTGATCCGCCCGTCTCGGCCTCCCAAAGTGCTGGGATTACAGGCTTGAGCCACCGCGCCCGGCCTTTAAATATTTTTTATAGAGATGGGATCTCCCTCTGTTGCCTGGACTGGTCTCGGACTCCTGAGCTCAAGTGATCAGCCCTCCTCAGCCTCTCAAAGTGCTGGGATTACAGGAGTGCCCCACCTTGATAAATATTTCTTGAGTTAATAAGTGATTGTTGAGGCTGGGCTCAGTGGTTCACACCTGTAGTCCCAGCACTTTCGGAGGCCGAGGCGGGCGGATCACCTGAGGTTGGGAGTTCGAGACCAGCCTGACCAACATGGAGAAACCCCCTCTCTACTAAAAATGCAAAATTAGCCGGGTATGGTGGCAGGCACCTATAATCCCATGTACTCGGGAGGCTGAGGCAGGAGAATTGCTTGAACCTGGGAGGCAGAGGTTGCTGTGAGCCGAGATAGCGCCATTGCACTCCAGCCTGGGCAACAAGAATGAAACTCCATCTCAAAAAAAAAAAAAAAAAAGTGATTGTCTAGACCCTCCTCTTCTTTAGTGAATCCTAGGATCATAAGTAGATGGAGGAACTTCAGTGGCAAATGCTCAAAGCACAACGTGAGTTAGTGGGGCATGGTAGTGCACACCTGTGGTCCCCCAGCTACTCAGGAGGCTGAGGTGGGAGCCCAGGGAGGTTGAGACTGCAGTGAGCTGCCGCTGGGCGACAGAGTGAGACCCTGTCTCAAAAAGGAAGGAAGGGAGGAAGGAAAGGAGGAAGGAAGGAAGGAAAGGAGGAAGGAAGGAAGGAAAGGAGGAAGGAAGGAAAGAAGGAAGAAAGAATGAAAGAAAAAAGAGAAAGAAAGGAAGGAAGGAAGGGGAAAGGAAGGAAGATAAAGAAAAAGGAAGGAAGGAGAGGAAGGAAAGAAGGAAGAAAGAATGAAAGGAAAAAGAAGAAAAAGGAAGGAAGGAAGGAAGGAAACGGTAGGCAGGCAAGCACAATGTGTCTGCAATGGGGTGAATTGGGAGGGAGGGGGAGAAAAGATGGGGAAGAGGTCAGGGTGGGAGTGACTTCAGGTAGGGTCTTGCCGGCCGCGGGAACGGAGGAGCGAACGTGGGCGCCCTGTCCACCAGAGGGCGCAACGTATCCCTGCCCATTGTCTCCGAGAACTACATCTCCCAGCGGCCCTCGGAGTGCGCGGCCCTTCTCAAGCGAGCGCTGAGGCTCAGAGGCCGCTGGGACTTGTAGTTGGGACAGTGAGCCGCTGGAGGAGGCCAAGTAACTCATTCCCAGGTCTTGAAAAAGTGTGGGGCTGGGTCCTTTCCTCCTTCCTTGGTTTCCATGGCGATGGTTTCGGCAAAGGCCCAGGTTTTGGCAGCGGCGGGGCCCGCTTCCCACTCCCTCCTCTTCACCATCTGCTCCACCCTCACACCTGGCCCCGAGCCGCAACCACCGCCTCCGCACCCCGGCCGGGAACTCTGCAGCCACTGGGTGGCGCGTGTGAGCGGCTCCCGCGCTGGTACTTCACCCCACGAGTCCCGGTTCCTACCTCCGTTCTGCCTCAGACCCGCAGCGTCCTTCGTTCTGGGGTCCCAGGGGTTTCTCAAAACTGTGAGACCCAGAGACCCAGCCAGTCAAGGCTGGAAGCGAGAGGCTGTGGCGGTCAGTGGCTTCCCGGCCACCCAGTACTTGGCGCCCGCCCGCCGCGCCGTCTGCTCCTCCCACCCCACCGCGGGCCGCATCATGAAAATTTAATTCCAAATGCATTTGCGGCCCGACGCGGGGAGGTAGTAGGGAAAGGATCACCCTCCTGGGGCCTGGATCTGGAGGTGGACTCAGCGCCGGGAGATGGGCTGGTCTGAGGACAGGAGCGGGGCGGGACCCTGTCTGCGGGCCCAGGACAGGGAAGGGCGGGGCTCTACCCAGCGGGGCGGGGCTGGAATTCAGGGGTGGAGACAGAGTTCGGTGGGCGGGGACAGATTCCTGGGGGTGTGGGCAGGACTGGGAGAGCAGGGACGGATCACAGGGTCAGAAGTCGGAGGGCGGGGACAGATCCCATGGGGCGGGGGCAGGACTGGTAGGGCGGGGACAGTTCCCAGGGGCGGAGGCCAGAGCTTGGTGGGCGGGGTCAGATTCCGGGGGCGGGGACAGGACTGGGAGGTCGAGGACAGATCCCAGTGGCGAGGGTCAGCAGTCGGAGGGCGGGGACAGATCCCATGGGACGAGGGCAGGGAGGGTAGGGACAGATCCAGGGGGCGGGGAGAACTGGGAGGGCGGGCACAGATCCCAGGGACGGAGTCCAGAACTCGGTGGGTGGGGACAGATTCCGGGGGGCAGAGAGAGATCCAGTGGGGAAGGGGTAGAACTCAGATAGCACGAACAGATTCCAGGGGGCAAGAACAGGACTGAGGGCGGGGACAGATCCCAGGGACAGATCCTAGGAGGAGGGGACACAACTCCAAGAATGGGGAGAGAACTCAGAGGGTGGAGGCAGAACTCAGGTCAGCGACAGATCCTAGGGGAGTAGACAAATTCAGAGGGCGGATGAGGATGCCAGGGGGCGCGGATCACAATTTAGGGGGCGGGGACAGATCTCCAGTGGGTGGAGACAGAACTCAAATAGCGGAATGGATCCCCCGGAGCTAGGGAAGAACTCAGAGCGCGGATAGATCCCAGAGGAGCGGGGAAATAACACAATGGGGAGACTATGGGGTCGCAGCTGGCACTGGTGGGGTGTGTGAAATATAACTGTGGGGGACGGAAGCCAGAGGGAAGAAAATCGGGGTTAGGGAATGAAGCTCATCGAGAGAAGCAACAGGGAGGAGAGAGGCGCCAGAGGGAGAATAGAGTTGGAGGAGTGTGGGATTCAAAGGGGAAAGATGGAAACTCAGGAGGAGATGGAGCTCAAGAACCCAGGTGGCGAAAGGGACTAGAAGGGGACGACGGGTGGATCGAAGTAGG